CCAAACATCCATTAGAAATTAAAGATCCTAATTTAGAGGTAGAAATGTGACCAAGGCGAGAATGCCAGATATTAGAGGTGACAACAACAACAAGAGATGGTAATTGAAGAGATGATAGCTCAAACAGTCTCCCAACCTTACGGCCTATCCCAATGATCTTCCCTGTCCGTGGATCCTGCACAGTACAACCACGACTTGAGAAATATAGTTCAAAATCAAGTTCACATAATTATCCAACATATATAAGATTTAGAGATAATTGATGTACCAAAAAAATGTTAGGAAGTGACAAACGAGATGTTGAAACAATGCCTATACTTTTGACAGTTAAGGTGGAACTATTGGCAGTATGAACAATTGGTGCAATAGAAGGATGTGACTTGGAAGTAAACAGTGATGAATTGGATGTCATATGATTGCAACAGGCAGAATCAAAATACCATGATGAGGTAGTACTTGGAGTGACGGACAAGACTGAATTAGAAGGCATACCAGAATCAGGTTGGAGCTGGTGAAGAAGAGCTTGAAGTTCTCTAAGAGAAAATTTTGGAGATGTGTTATCAGAAGAATTCTCTGTGGCAACAGCTGCAGTAGAACTCAAAGCCTGAGAACCCATGGATGAGGACTTCTGTCCAGACGCCTTTTTGGCTTGCAAGCGACGACAATCAGAAATAGTGTGACCAGTCTTCTTGCAGTAATTGCAGAAAGTCCGTTTTGAAGATTTAGTTGAAGAAGTAGTAGACGTACCCAGAGTAGCAAGAACAACATCAGTAGATAATAAGGATCGCTCATCTCGAATTGTTTTTAGACGAGTTTCTTCAGAAAGCAAATCTTTGATCACAACTTCAAGAGAAGGCAATGGACTATAATGAAGTAGAGTACCACTAATAGGTTCATACTCATCCCTGAGAGTCATCAGAAGATGCCAAACACATTGGCGATCGCGAAGCTTGGAATAGGTAGTAGCTGCAGAGGTACTATCCCATTCAGGTTGACACTATGCTAACTGATCCCAAAGAACTTGTAATTCAGAGACATAACTGTGAATGGTCTGTTCAGGTTGCTGCTTCATACGGTGAAGACGGCTATAGAGCTGAAACTGATGCACATCATCAGAAATAGAATAACGAACTTGTAAGAAATCTCGTACCTCTTTAGGAGAGTCATATCTACGAAATTCCAACTTGATGCTTGCAATACAAGTATTGAAACCAGGTCAATATTTGATGATTTTTCCCATCCCATTTTTCTACTCGTTCAGCAAATTTATCTTCTGTTTCATCAGCAATTTTAGTAGGTTTGGGAATCTCACCCGTCACATATCACCATAGAAGGCGTCCCTTGAGAAAACTGCACATCTCCTGGGACCATAAATCATAATTAGAGCCATCGAAGGTAACAGTGATGGGATGAGAGATATGTTGAGCAGCTTCAGATGAATCCATGAGGAGAAACACAAAACTCTGGAGCAACACAAATCAAGCAAAAACTTAATACTGTCTTTAAGAAACAAGGAAGACCCGGGGCTCTCGCTCAGGCTCAGGCTCAGGCTCAGACCCGTATTCGTTTTCTTGCTTTCTTCAATCAATTCTGTTTCTGTCTTCCCCCAACTAAGCCTTAGCGACTAGCTCAGACAACAGCAATGGCGAGTCAAGCGATTGAGAATTACAGAGAGAAGATATCGCTGCAAGGGGAAATCGCTGCAACTTCTGGATGAGATATCGCTGCCCAAGAGTCTGTTGCCGCTGGATGGCACGGAGGAGGTGGGATACAACAGGGAAGCCGGGTTCGTCTGGCTTAAGGAGGAAGAATGCAAAACACCTTCAAGTGCATGGGAAGTAGGTCTCGTACGCAAATAAGATTACCGCCTTCGTGGAGAACCACCGGATGAAGAAGCTGATCGGGGTAAAGGAGCTCCTGATTCGGGTTGGGTCACCCTCTCGTACTAGAACATAAATCTTCTACAGTTCACCTGGTTTTTCCTTCGCTTCTTTTTCATTCATGTTATCAAGAAATTCTGATGGTGCCAAAGGCCGAGAAGAAGCCCACAGAGAAGAAGCCTGTAGCTGAGAAGCCGACCGAAGAGAAGGAGAAGGTGGCTGAGAAAGCACCGGCTGAGGAAAGAAGCTGTCGAAGGAGGGAGGTGCGTCTGCTGGTGACAAGAAGAAGCAAATAAGAATTGATTTGCGTGCACCGGAAGTCGTGTACAGGACGACGATCACGATGAAAGGTTATGCGAGGGTGCTAGCCTTCAACCCGAGGTGCTATGATAATTGGTGCAACGACAGCGTGCACTCATGAGAGGGCGCCGACGAAGCTCAAGTGGAGGGACGGATCCGATCAGGCTCTGATACCATGATACGGAACCAAGAAGGATGGATGAAGAAGATAATAGTTTCTCTTGATGTATTACCAATTCAATAGGCTACAACTCTATTTATAATAGAGCTAATTATAATAGGGATACAATAGGGAGACAAGGTCGGCGACCTAAAGAGGATACAATAAGGAAAGAAGTAAGAGATAAGAAGATAAGGTATGTACAACTATCTCCTAGAAGGAAGGAGATAATGAAACCAATTTTGATAGAATACGCTAACACATTATATAGGGATCATTTTAAAGGAGGCCTATACTTGTTTTGTATGTTTTGCAGATTGTTTAGACTTCCATTGGCTGCACATACTGAGGGGGGCTTTGACATGTTTTACTTTGTCTAAGAGCAATTCTAGACATTCTAAAAAAAAGATTAAAGGGCTCACAAGGAATATGATAGTTAATTTTCAGTGGGTGGACAGATGGAAAATGCCTTGACTGATTCTCTTGCTAAACAAGGGGCTTCTCGGGTTATTTTGTATTGGGCTATTGGGCTTCTCTATTATTTTATCTTTGCTTTGTGTAATCGGTTAAAGGTTAGATCTCTGATAATTAGTGAAAATCAGAGGTGATGTGTCTAACAAAAATAATTAGTGAAAATTTGTTCTTGAAAGAATGATCTCTGATAATGTGTTAGTGTCTCATGAAATACTACATTTCATGAAAACAACAAGACAAAAATAAAGTTTCATGGCCATAAAGCTAGATATGAACAAAGCTTATGATAAAGTGGAATGGAGGATCATAAACACTTGCGCCTAAGAAGAGCCTTAGAGGGAAGTCGATTGTTCAACAATAGGAACATAAACACTTGAAGTTTTGCCGGGCACATAAGTTTCCAAATGTTCCTATTCCAATTAAAACTATTTATTGGATTTGAAATAATACCACATTTCAATCTATAGGCAGAATTTGATGAAAATTTGCCATTAGCATTAAACCACCACACCAATTCATCATCTTTAGACTCATATGGGATGAAAATAGTTTTGATCTTCAGCCAAATATCATAACAAGACTGCATATTTTCTATCTATTCCAAAATTTCTTATCTAGATCAATCACATCACTAAGAGTCCCTCATTACCAATGTTTCCTTGAGGAACCAAATCAGCAATAGCTTTATCTCTAATCTCCAATCCATCTATCTCTCCAAAAATTCATTGATTTTCCATTACCAATTTCCCAGCCCAAACCCTTCATAAGAAGCTCTCTAGCTTAGAGGATCCCTCTCCAAGCCCACAAGATACTTTTCTCGACTTTAGCATCTAGAAAATTACTTGCTTTTCGATATTTATTTTCATTAGTAAGAATTTTCCAACCTAATCTTGTAAAGTTGGCTTCATTAACCCAGGCAAGGTTCTTAAGGCCTAAACCACCCTTATCTTTAGGAGTACAAACTCTTTCCCACTTCATTAGGTGAATCGGCTTCCTGCCTTTAAAGTTGGACTAGAGAAATCCCCTTTGAATTCTATCAATCTCCTTAATCATATTCTATGGGATTTGAAAGGATCTCATAACAAACTGAAGAATCCTACTGATAGTGGAGTTAAGAAGAGTGATTTTTCCAACCATAGAAAGAGAATTCCTTTTCCAATTAGCCAGCCTACTAACATTTTTCTCACATAGATCATGAAAAGTGTTTTTTTGTGACCCTACCCCTAATAATGGGGGCTCCTAAATAGGATTTTTAGTTTGCTTCTAATGGAATTTTCATAATTTTAGCTAAATTTTCTTGAATCTCCTAGGCATGTTCTTAGAGAAAATAATTGAAGATTTTGCAAAATTAGGGCTTTGACCCGAAGCCTTAGCAAAGTCATCAAGGATTCTTCTCTATGTTCTCACTTGTTTCCCACTAAAATGATGGGACTCCATATTCCAAGAATTGGGATCTAATTCCACCTTTTTTCCCATCCCATCTCATGACATCCCATAAATTAAATATGGGGAGAGAGGAATATTCTAGAATATTCCATACTTTTCTCTCCCATTAGACGTGTTCATGGGCCGGGTTGCCGACAGGCTAATTAGACCTGGCCTGTTATAAGTCGGGCTTGGCCATAATTTTAGGCCCGTGGGCTTGGGCTCAGGCCTAAAGCATCAGTCCCGACTTTTTTTTTGGGTCGGGCTCGGGCTTTCTCAAAAAAGCCTGGCTTGAGCCCGAACCCGATTTGATATTATATATTAAATAATAAAAATATATTTATTTAATATATATTATATTTTTTCTTTATTCTTCTCTTTTTTTCCTTGTAATAGTGAGATGTTTATTATTTTTGAGTTTTGATGGTTTTTAATATAAATAAAACACTTTTTTATTGAATAAAAAAAGAAAAAGATTTTTATTTTCAAATTTCTGGCTGGGCTTTAGGCTTTATATGAAGGCTGGGCTCGAGTTTGAGACCTAGGCTTCATGGTCGGGCTGAACTCGAATTTGAACCCGTGCTTAAGACCTAGGCCCGATGGTTGAGCCAGACTCAGACTCGGGCCTAAATGTATTCTGTTGATACATATGCAAAGCCTGGCCCGACCCGACCCATGATTAGGTCACTTCCCATCTCTTACATTTTCCTTCAAACCAAACACATTTATATTAGCTATGTAATTGGATTGGCTCTTTGGAGTTTGGACCTTGATGGGCTATTCTGAGATGTGGGTTGAAATCAGGGCTCAGGGTGGCGCGGCTTCTAAATATTTTTCTACTGAGGTCTTATTTCTTTCTTTTTTTCATTTTTTTGGAGATTACTGATTTAGCTGTTTGGATAGCCGTCACTTGAGCGAAGGAAGAAGGTAATCTCAAGCTATTAGCGAAAAAAACAAGGTAATCTCAAGTTTCTCCTCTTTCTCTGTATTGATTGATTTTCTCTTTTGGTTGGGTTCGTGCAGTAGTCCATAGTAATGCAATTCCTACTGGTTGTTTTTGTTCCTAGTGCACTATCTTGAGGTTTCAATTTCTGGGTTTTGATCTAAAGGTACATGTAATAACGGGTCTGCTCTGGTTCGGGCTTATAGTAAGAGTTTTTACGATTTATTTTATATGCAAAATTTCATAGTTTTGATGAGACAACGGCAATAACTTTTCATTTGATCATGTTTGGATTCAGTCCTTAATCGAAAAGTTGCAATAGTTTCATCTAGGTTTGTGGTTTTGATCTGATATTCTCACTGTTGTATAGATTATTCGTATTTGTGCTTTGGGTTTATTTAGTTTCGTACTTTTTGTTTAAAATTGTGTCTATCTTTGTCTTTGATTCGACTTATACTTCGAATTTGGGCATTAGTAACTAATCGTTATTGGAATTTAGTGTTTCTAGTTCGAGAATCTGATTATTCTTGTTCTGATATCTATATAGTAAGATTGTCGCAATCATTCTCTTTGGTTTTGTGCTTTTGGGTATATTATATAATAACTTGCAGTATGTTCTCATTGATTGCCTTCAGTACTTCTATAAGTTGATAAGTAAGCTTACTTTATCTGGGTTTATTCCTCCCACAACGACAAAGAAGGTTTCCATCTAAAATAACATTTGATCTTTCTGTGATTTGGTACATAAGCAATAAGGTGATGGGAAAGGATTCGAAACCAAAGGAGTCAGGAGGGAAGGGCAAGGGAAAGCAGGCAGGGGGTGGAAGTGATGAAAATGCTTCAAAGGGTAAGGGGAAATCTGGGAAGTCAGCAGATGGACTTGGTACCTGCACTTATGTCAAAGGTCCTTTCTTATGCCTTAAACATCTTAGACTTGTTGCAATTTGCCTTTTGTATATTAGTTTGTGGTGTCGTTATCTCTTTGATATTGTATGTCTCATTGCTTCATGGTGAACTGGATGGACCACAAAAGGTTTTAAGAATGATAAGATCACTAACATCAGATGTGATGTATGGGATGCTTGATTTATATTGTGGAGTCCTTGGCGTAGGTGTGTCATTCTAGACTCATTTGGGATAATTTTAGTTGAGATTTATGTGCATCTATTGAAGGATCCCTTTCTAAGAATCATAGTTGTGTGGTGTTTTGGATATGATTGTTATTCTTTTATCAGCAACACAGAAATGATTTATATAATTGTTATTCAATAATTTGATTTTACTCAACGGATAGCTTTTGCAGATATATTAAAGCTTGTGGGTAACTTTTTTTTGTTTGAAAATAAACATCTTTGGAAAATCATACTATACCCAAAAAGTCATTATTCTTGATCTTAGGCACATGTTGCTCTTCTAATTGTATGACAATCAGCCAAACTACATGATTTGTGCAAGAATTGCTGCCACCCATTTGAAAAGAAATCCATCGCCAGCATTGTAGAATTTGACATGTTTTCTCTCTGGTTTTATGTTGAAGATCAAATAATTTAGGATGCGCTTTGGTAAGAGTTCAAATGCAAATATTTATGGTTTTGTATTGATATCTTTTGTTTTCATACCAAAAATATTTGGTTATGATGAATACAAATGTGAATTTCAAGACTGGAATTTACTTTTTTCACATTGACTAACTTTGAGTGCAAAAGTTTGTTTCCAGTTTTTGGAAGCAAACTTTGCTCCCATTTTGAATGCAAACATGTCAGAAAAAATAAAATTTCTTTCATTTTCATTACAAAGATGTATTCTTACCAAAATGCCTGCAAAACTGAACCAGAGTGCAAATTCACTCTTATCAAATGCAGTCTTATATGCAAATTGATCTTTTGCATCCCATGTTATTGTGATAAATAAATGAATTTACTTTTATGCTCATTTTCCTTCAAAATTCTCCTTTGCTGTGTATTGTTATGCCTAAGTAAGGTATTGACTCTTTATTCTGCCTATTTTTCTTCTTATTGGAACCCATACATAAATTTTCTAGGAAGTTCTGATATTAAAACTTACCTGGCTTTCATATGGCTTAATCCATCTTTGGCAATTTGTTTCAGCAAGGCATATCTTATGTGAGAAGCAAGGGAAGATCAATGAAGCATATAAGAAGCTACAAGATGGTTGGCTAAGCAATGGAGACAAGGTTCCTCCTGCTGAATTTGCAAAGGTAGCTTTGTCTCATGTAATCCTCCAGCTTCCATGTTTCCTTAATATATTTCAATCAAGCCATTAAGTTCTAAATTGAGTTTTGTACCCAAGGCTAGACCTTGGTCTGTGGACAAGGACACAAAGTCTGAGCCCTGAGGTCCCCATGATTTACCACCTGACCCATATTCTGAGCATTGGAACTCACTGTCAGATGGGTACTACCTGGAGGATCTGCTGGGACAAACATCAGGATGCACAGAACTATAAATAAATCTCTGGTTTTACTTCATTTATGGTCGAGAAAAAGTTGTCTTAAGTTGAAAGTAGTTTTAGAGGTAACACTCAATCAGATGGTTAAAAGTATCCCATTAAGATGGCTGTCACCGATTCTTGAAAATTTGACCAGCAATTTATGGGCACCTTCCTCCTGCACTGAAGTCTGGAAGTAAAGTCTTGTGTACTACAACAGCATTTCTTATAATTTACTTGGAAGATATTGACTCCAGTTTTCTGAAATTTCCAAATCAGAATGCCTTACAGATATTTTAAATTAGATAGTCCAACTCATTAGTCAAATAATTGTACATTCAATCTGCAGAGTTGTGTCCAAACACAAACACCAAGTCATTATATCCTGAGGATCTTTCAAAAAAAAAAGTCATTACATCCTAAGGAGAAAATAAAAGCTGTCGCCTAATTCTGGTCCTGGTGACTTGTGGGGGGGAGGGGACTGGGTATTGTTCAAACCTTCGCCTTTTCTCAACCAAGTGGCCATCCTCAGACTTAAACTTGCATTCTCCCTATTGTCAGCCGAAGATTATATGATCCTTAGGAAAAACCTATATAGAATAGATCCGTGGAATTTCTGGTATTTATAAGCAGATGAAGAAAATAGTAAAGTTTTCGATGGTAGGTCTCCAATGGTGCATTTCTCTCATTACCAACAAAAAAGGTGCATTCCTCATTCTTCTGTTTCTTCCACCTCTTTGTTTTATTTTTTCAGCTAGCTTCTGAATATTCGGAGTGCCCATCTGGAAAGAAAGGTGGGGACCTTGGATGGTTTCCTAGAGGAAAGATGGCAGGCCCATTTCAAGATGTTGCTTTCAGCACCCCTGTTGGAGCTACCAGTGCACCATTTAAATCGACGTACGTATTTGCAACTCCTGGTCTTTGATCCTTAATTTACAATCATCACTACACATGTCTGGGCTGGCTGATATCTTATATGACATAAAACAATCAGGCTTGAGTGGATTGAACCATGTGTAAGACCATGCAGTGTAGATAGTTCATTTTTAAGAGCAATTGCATTCTTAATACCCAAATCAACCACCACTATTTGAACCCTTGATGAGAGTTAACACGACCTCTATATGACTTCAAGGGTATGCTGTAGTCTGTAAGTCAATATTCTTCACTTTCTGTAATTAGAGGTGTAAAATGGGCCGTGCTGGGCCAGCACGGCACGGCCTGTGTGCGGCCGGTGCAAAGTGTGGGCTGTGCCTCCCTCCCCCAGGATATTTTGGGGGGGTTGGCCCGGCATGGCCAAGGGCCTGAGCCCGTGCTGGGCCGGGCTGGTTCGTGGGCCAAGCCTTGGGCCAGGCCGGGCCAAAGTTATTTATTTAAAAAATTGAAAAAACTTAAAATTTTAATTTTATATGAATTTTGATGTATACAATTGCTTATATGTACAATAATTAAATAAAATAGTATAATAAAATTGAAAAAATGTTTATTTTATTAATATATTATATATAATTATAATTTATATAATATATAATATATATATCTATATATATATATATTTATAAAATATATATGAGCTGGGCTGGGTCGGGGTCACGGGTGACACGGCACGACAGTGCGGGCCATGCCGGCCCGGCCCACTGACCTGAAACCCCAAGCCTGGCACAGCCCATTGGCCCATACAATCATGCCGGGTTGTGGACCATTGGGTCAGGCTGGCGCAAAATTTTGCCACCCACGCGGTGCGGCCCAATTTAAACCTCTATCTGTAATCCGTCTCTAAAAAATAAAACATGTTCTTGTACTCAAGCTAAGGTCTATATTTATTATTTTCAGTAAATTTATTTGGTCAGTCGGATTTTTTTTTTTCAGTGACATCCAACTCCACTGGTAGCCTTGTGAAAGAACCTCTTTTATTTTCTGGCCTTACGCATACCTATGCAGCACTATTGTAGTTGAGAAAGAACCTCTATACTGTGTATCTTTTGTTTTCTACAGCCCTACCAGTACATACTCGTTATGATTTATGCAGCATTTTTGTAATTGGGTTTTGTCTGCAACTTCCCAATTAACACTACTTCCAAGTTCTAATAGCAATAAAGTTTGAAGTTCTGTAAGCGTATTTAGCTCAGCTAGTTGACGTACTTTTGTGTTGTGGAAAATGATGCAGGCATGGATACCACATAATCTTGTGTGAAGGGAGGAAGAACTGATAGGACCCACTTTGGTGCAACACAGTGGTAATAGAAGTTTAATCTTTGATGGTCTTGTTTTGACCATTTAAGCTAGTCAGGGTACTTTGTATTGCACGATTTAGCGTCATGTATTGATAAAAGGTGCATCCTTTCTTAAACCTCAATTACTGACAAGAGGATTATCTTCAAGTTGGCTGGGATATTAAGGTTATCATCAACATCATCATTAGGGCCTTGCCCTAACAATATGGGGTCTGTTATATGATTCGTCCATTCCTTTCTATTCAGTGACCCCGAATCTCCTGCAAGCAAAAATTCTGCTCACATTATATTGAGCGGCATATCGGGAATATTTCCTGTACTTGTAGTTTAAATTCATAAGGAGATGTTCCCAATGAGCGGGTGTATGTTCTTGCTTGCAGGAGATCCTCGCCGTTCGCCTTTTCAGTGCTATAAATCATTTCTTTCTTCTCAGAGATACCGTAGATTTATTGAAATGAGGGATTGCTAACAGGGTTTGCCATTTTGGGCATGAAATGTCTTTTGCATCACAGTTCACACGGTTGCAGTAAACTAGGACAAGATTTGCTTTCTTGAACAGACCTTAGACTTAGGGCTGTAGATTCAGCTAAATTGGTTCAATTGCTTTGAAGTTTCAACTACTCTGGATTAACCATGTGTTAGTTTGGGAGGGCTGAAGTGCAGCGGCTTCTGGCTCTCTGAGGTGGGCTATAAACAAGTCGTTATATAGAGGGTTTCACTTTTAAAGCAGCTGAAATCCATTTCAGCTAATCGTGCAATACAAAGTGCAGAGAAGGAATAGATCATTCTGATTTTGATTTCGATTCCTAATGTGAACAAATAGACCCCACAGTATTTTTAAATGCAGAGAAGTATGGACAAGCCTGATGCAGATTTCTGAATTCTACTGCAGAGTTATAGGCATTTAAAATGTCAAAAACCCCTACTTTATACACAAATGTCTGCCGTGAATTAACATCAATTCCGAACTGGCACCCACTCCAATTGTACTTTGGGTCTAAAAATTCTGACGCTGGATTGAATCGTCATTCTCCCTATTTAAATGATAAAAGATATTATATTACATCAATTGATAAATTGTTAAATCAAAATAACAAAGGAGATATTATTTCACATCACTTGATAAATTGTTAAATCAAAATAATGAGGTTTTTATTGTTCAGTCCACCTTCATAAATCTTAGCTCCATTGTAGGTGTCAGCTCGGAATTAATGCTAATTGACAGGCGGGTATATGTGTTATATGTGGAGGTGTTTATAATTATTAAATTTTGAATTCTGAGTGGAGAGTAGAGTGCAGTCAATTTATTCCTAATATTGTATATTAATATAATTGATGAATGATTTTTTATTTATATATTTGAGGTGGAATGCAATCAACTTATTCCTAATATTATATATTATTATATAATTGATGAATGATTTTTTTTTAATATATTGAGTCTGGTACTTCGAGTAATGCATAGGAGAGTTTGGATGGGCTTCACACAGAGCGTGCCCTCAGCCCATCCCTCCCAATTCATGTTCCCAATTCACGGGAGGGATGGGCTGTGGGGCCCGTTCTATAGGGAGCCCATCCCGTCTAAGCATAGCATAACATACAGGCTGTATGTGTGGGGCCCACCTTGAAAAGCCTCCCAAACGGGCAAAATTGAAACTTGAAAGCCAAGCCAATAATACACTCGTCTTGATGGGATGGCACAGCCTGATGTGTAGGACCCGGGATCTGCTCCTCACAAATGGACGCCTTGGTCACATCGACTGTGCATTAGGAACATCCCCCTTGAATAATAACTAATAAGTATGGGATATGTTTCCAATGTATGATAGGATGTGTGTGAGGCGCCAGATGCGAGGAGAAGATCCAATCTCAATGTGTAGTTAGTGGTGCAACTTGGGTTGGAATTGGGATCTGTTCCTCATAGAGCATGCTGTGATAGATGGGAGATGTTCCCAATGTACAGCCAATACATGCTGTGAGATGTGCTCTGTGAGGAACAGATCCAGACTCTTGGGTTGGCCCATGTCAACAATTCACATTGTTGACCATTCAAATTTTGACAAATAAATTTGCATTGATGCAAAACCATGGCAGTGAAAATCATTTGAGTGTAAATTTTGACCTATTTTTGTTTCAAATTTTTAGCTTATTTTTTTTGATTGCAGTACAAATGAAGTGGATTAAGACATGAAGCAGAATAAAGTAAAATTTCAAACAAAATTAAAGGAGAATTTGCATTTTTTTTTATTTGCATTATCATGCATTTGTACTAGTGCAAATAAAATTTTACTGCAACCAAACGCAGCCTAAATATCATCATTCGCTGAGGAAACCATTTGCTCTCTTTTGTTTTACATCAACCAGCCAAAGCCTTGGGCAATGTCGCAGAAAGTGTGTATGGCTTAGCTCGAGTGTACTGATCTGCTATGAAGTCAGTTAAGAAAACTGATCAGACTAATATCGACCTATGATACAAGCCAAATACTACAAGATGAAGGAAACATAATCAGAAACCAATGGATCCCACTTGACTGTTTATAATCAACAAAACATAAACGGAAATGCCAACTGGGAACTGAAACCAAAGGGACTTAGATTTAATAAGTAATCTAAGGAATGACATTAACCCAAAAATCCACATACAAAGGCTGTAAAAAAAATAAACAAATTAAATTAAAGGAAACAATGGTACGCTGAAATATCTACAAAAACAGTGACTAAACAAAGAAAAGCATGAGTACCAGCACAAATGCTGATACCATTAGTGAAGGCCTGAAGGAGGAAGACAAGGCAATCTGAATGGTGAAATTGCAGTTTCCCTGTGAAGCATTCTGTGTTGTCACCATGGCTAGACCTTCGAAATTACAGCTCATATCTTGCTGGTTCTGAGCTTGGAAATACATATTAAATGCATAAGATGCATTCCCTTGAGTATCCAAGTTGCCACATGATGACTGATAACCGAGTGTTGTGCAATCAGAGAAGGTGCAAGCATAATTAATATTATCTGCGAGTTTGCTCAGGTCCTTCGCATTTGGATTAAAGACACACCATCTCTGAGGTAGGTATTGCACATTCTTTGCAGCCACGAGTAAAGTGTTTTGCCCTTGACCTGAGATATCCAATAGAAATTTGGGCTGCCCATCATACCTAAATATTCCCCAATGGCGCTCAAAGTTTCCAGGAGCAATGCTCTTGGCATCCTCGTCAATCAGACCAAACAAGTAAACTTCCAAGTAGCCGGGTCGCAATGGAGTCCCTTTATTAGCTGCAAGCCGCGGTAGGAGACCATTATAAAACCTCTGTGCTAAAGCCACATTGGCATTCTTGTCTCCATCTGTTGGCCAACCTACCTCCCCCACCAAAATGGGCATATCTCCAAAGCCTACAGACTTGAGAGCTGAAACCAATGTATCAAAGTTTGCATCAAAGACATTACTGTATTGAATCCCATTCCCAGTATCAGTTGTAGGGTTGGCTGTCCCATCGAAGAAGGCAAAGTCCACAGGGAAGTTCTGGTCAGCATAGAGACTTAGGAAAGGGTAGATGTTGACAGTGAAGGGAGCATTATTCTTGTTGAGGAACTGCACGATCTGAGTCATGAGATCGCTGATATCAGTTCGGAACCTTCCAGCAGAAGGAACAGGGTTGCTGACAGGTGAGTTATAGACATCAGCATTTAAAGGCACAGTGGCCTTTATGGAGTCACCATGTCCGGCCTCATTCAGTGCATTCTGGATATTCTGGAGGGCGGGAAGGGTGATGTTCAAGAATGAGTTATTGTAAGATTGGAGAAATGGCTCATTCCCTACTGCTACATATCTGTCAGAAGATAAAAAATTTGAAAAATGAGATGCCTAAGTAATGGATTTATCAATTCAATAGAAATAAAAGATAGTAGCTATATGCATACAATTCTAGGTGTATATAAACCAACATTACAGAATTAACAAGGAAATATGCTAATCAAGTCAGTCTGGTAAAAATTAAGCTTAAAAACTCAAACTTGCATGAATTATCTGCTTTCATTGTACACTATGTAGAGACGTACTAATTGTTTGCCACTTCTACTTCTGTTTTTGGAACAAACTAGCTACAAATCTAAGTTAATATCATTGTCTGGCCCAAGATGTTGGACCCTGCTGAATCCTGAACTGAGCATTTATTTTTTATTATGATAATTTCTGGCACAACTGGAAGAAGATTGAGTATCGATAGAAATAGAATCTTAAATGACAATGAATTTATTAACATCCTCCATTGAATTTATTTTAAAATTTGAGCTAATCATGAATAAACCTCCAAATACCAAAATATATAAAAATAAATAAATAAACAAAATGAACAAAAAAGTGCCCAATGCCAATATTGGGCTTTCTTTGATTCTTTCTGTTACTTTATGGACTACCAGGTTCCTTCTAGTTTTCAATGGCACTTGAGATGACATCTCTAGTTATTAATTTAAGTGGAGTAATTTCTAGTTGTTATTTTTATTTTTTTTATCCAAGCAATGGATTGGTTTTTTAAATTCATGAGATGACATCATCTCTAACTTTTTTAACTGGAAGTAGTTCCATTTAAAACCTCTGGCTCTTAAATGGAATGGAAAACTAAAAACTAAAATGAGATCATTTTATTCCAAGTGGTTCCAGGCCACCCTATAACTGAATTAATGGTTACCTATATGCCTATTTATAAATCAATCTATTTTTTATCCTTAACAGATCAATATCTTTATCAATCAATCAATCCATCTATCTATCTGCTGCATCAAAGTTTATATGATGAAAACATCTGTCTGTTATCACAAAAAATGGAACAAAGAACAAGAGCACTGTGGTATTCATTGAAGAAACTTAAAAAAAAGGCAGTTGCATTTCATTTTGAAACAAGTGGAGTATCAACACATCAGTCAGTGGTGAGTAGAGACAAGGAAACGAGTATTTAAATTTCACTTTTATTTATCTATAATGCCTCTACTGTATACAGAAATACTGATAGAAGGCCATTACCAAATGTTGGTTCCAGCTATCTATCGTATTGGAAGGGGTAGACTGGTATGATCTTTTGATACGCCATGACCAAATGTTGGTTCCAGCTACATGGACATTTATATAGCAAACAGAAATATGGCTCTTCATTTGCTAAGATTCAAAACATGGATAAGTGTATGGACTGGCTATCCCATTTGATATGGTTATATCATGCTTTTGTATCTAGTTTTGAAGCCAAGTGTCATTTTTCATTCCATTTATCTAGTCAAATTCAATTAAGCTTCTAATATATAGATTCTTTATAGTATGATTTACCAAAATAATCCATTTCACATAATTTTGTAAGTGTTAATGTTAAATAAAGTATCCATGCAACATTCAGTGTTGTATCAGGTATGTGTCATGTCTAAGTGGTATTCTATACATGTAGAGGTGCCCATGTATCATAGCTAAGAACCACTATCAAAATATGTGCAGGCAAAATATATGGCTGTCTTTCCACCTTGGTGCTTTTGCAGTTTATAATAAGAGGCTGCTATTTGCCTTCCAGTGGAAGTGACAGAAACCCAAACAGAGTGTAGCGAAATTATATTACCACATCTCAAAAGTAAAGGGTTTGCTCAAAAAAATGCTCCTACACAATTTAATCTGCACAGAGGGAGCAGAGCTATGGATGGTCCAATGACCAATAAAAAAAGTTATCATTGCAATACATACAAGCAATCAATGGAACTTTGATAGGAGGGTGTTCCCTGAACTCCTTGTTTTCCAAGAACAGACTCTGGCACTACATTCCACTTTTGAATTAGTAGATCAATGCACTCAAATTCCAAAATTTCTTTTAACCATAGCATGCATAGAATAGCTAGGGATACCATCTTCCAGATAGTTGCTTCTCTCTTACTGAGCTTAATATGTTGTCATGTCTCAAGACTTTCATTGATTGTGGAGGGAAGAACCATTTCATACCAAAAATATCCAATTACCGAGCCTGCGACAAGGTGCTGAATTTGCAATGAGAAAAAGTTGATTTGCAGTTCCCACAACTTCTTAACAAGAATGTAGCCCCAAAAAAAGTCTTAACAAGAAGGCATAATCTAGAATTTGGGTTCCCCTTTAGCTTGTCTTAGGTATTTTACTTGAAACTGCCATTCAAATCATGAAATCAGCATTCAAGGGGCCTACAGGTTTTGAATCTGCTCCCAAGGGATCTATGTTAGTGGACATGTGTAACTTCTTGTAAGTGGACTGTCAGGACTGAGAATGCATCTAATGTATCCTACAAGGGTTAGATCTTTCCTTGGAGTTCCGTTTGCATTGATGACACATAATGCCCATCTTTCAAGAGGGTAAAATTTAACTGATTTTAGCAATCAATTGGTGATGATTTGTACATGCTAAAGCAGCACATACCCATGTTCAAAACAATCCCAAACCACATTTATGTGAGAAGACACATTTAGTATGTTAGATGTAAGTAGGTTGCTGATACCCTGAGAAAAAAAACGTTATATAAAGATAGAGAGTGCCAGAATGGAAGTTTAAATTTCATATTTTCTCAGAGTCAGAAGAAAGTTAATAATTTATTCTGCCAATAGCTATATAAGTTATTGGAATTAGCATTTGACTTTCATAGATTTTGAAATTTAAAGGCATTGACTCTGAAAGTCGGAAGATAATTAAATTGATATAGAGACAATGGTTATATACTTTGTACCAAAAAGAATACAGAGAAATGCATTAAGATTTCATTTTATCCTAATTAAGAACTCCCAGCTATCTGGGGTTTTGGGAGGGCTCTGGATACCAACCTAACCTTTAACATTTCATTTTTTAGGCACAAAGTGGTTGCTCTCAGACTCCAGCTCATGTTCTTACACATGGCCTGCATCATATGATATTCAAATTTCTAGAATTTCTGGTGCTTCCGCCCGGTAATTAAAGGATTGATACCCAACTAGCCCACTATGCTAAGTGGCACAACATATGAAGTTCCTCCAATGGTTCCTACGGGTTCTGAAGCAAAGGTTCAGTTATTAGTTGCAGAAAGGTGAAGGTGGCATTTCATCCCATATGGATTATAAATCCAGATCCGTGCTCTCAGCTCACACAGATCCTATAAACGTATCAAATTGGATCCCAACAATACAGAATATAACTAAGACCACATAAAACTACAGATCATAACGATAATGGAGCTGGATTTCTAGTAAAAGTAGAGAACAACAATGACTATCATCTCTATATCACGATAGGAAATTAACTCCTCCAAACAAGAAAAGAATTAAAGAAGCTAATGAAGAAGGTAGAAATCTCACTTGATATTCACTCCTCCATTGAAAATATACCGAGTAACGTTTCTCTTGACCCAGTCCTTAGCTCTATCGTAGTCATTCATCACTGCGAGCTGGTCATTTGGGATGGCAACCATCACTTCAATCTCGGTCCCAGCCAGCGCACTCATGGTACTTTGATCGGCATCGAACAGCTTCACTTTCTTTATACCGTTGTCTTTCAACATCTGGACCACAGTGTCAGGCGGCAACTTGTGAGTTGCCATGGTTCCCCAATTTACGCCGAGACCCTCAATGGTAAAACTCAGTAGGCTAAAGCAGAGAACCAAGAACAGAAACCAGAGCTTCTCCATTTTCTCAGGCAACCCAACCGGAAAATCACCTCCCCAGCGGTGAACCACCAGAGTTGTTGGCCGGAAAACTGGATATTTTAAAGATGGGTGGCAAGAATTCAATGAAATAAACAACGGATTTCTAAGAAACCAGATTTTGATCGTAGAAAACCAAGAATTAAAACCAAAGACTCGCCAACTTTTCTGGCAGAAGAAACGAGAAAACTTCTTTCCTGGTCGAAAAAACTAGAGTTTTCGACGATGGGTAGGAAGAATCCAACGAAATAATTATGGGTTCTCAATAAACAGCTGAGATTCGGCTGGCTTTATTTTCTCGTTGAAGTAGAGTGAGAGGGAAGAGGAAGAAAAAAAAACAGTTATATGCAGGTGGGTTCACGGGTCTCCAAAAATCTAGCGATATTGCCGAGAGAAGTTGAGATTGCGAGTAAAAAGCTAGAAAACAATAAAAATCGCAGTCTCCAATGTATGCTGAGATGCTACACGGAAACTGAGGACGACGAGACCAACTGCCAAAACCGGTGAAAAGAATCGATTTCGAAAGTGGGTTCTCGAACAGACGTCGAAAAGAAGCCGAAAGCCTGCGAGATACGAAGAATAGAAGACACCCACAAACCCAAAAGAACAATTTGAGAACCTGTGACAAACAGAGAACTCAGAGCTGGAATGCAAAACCAATAAAAAAGAGAGCAGAATACAAACAAACAAACACGAAGTGAAACCACCACCGCACCGGACTCTGCCTCTGCGAGGTGGGTATGTCGAGGACGTATAGAGAGATTCAGAGCTCAAACGAACAGCCTTAAGAGAAAGGGAAAAGAAGAAAAAAAGGCAAGGTCAGGAGGTCCTCCTTTCTGTTTTCTTTCTCGGATTCGTAAAGCAGAAAGAAGGCCGAACGAACAACGGAAAGAAGCCGGTCGTAATCGCAGCTTTCGAAAGCTGATAAAGCGAACCCTCCACGTTTGCACAAGGACAGGCATGTCACTGGCAATGTGACGTGAGGGTATCATCGACCTTTTACACAATTGCAGATCTAGCCATGGCGGTCGGTGGCCGACTTCAGGAACGTTGGAGGGAGTTTTGAAGCAATAAAATATTATTATTTTGAAAGGATTTATGAAAAAGCGTGTCATTGGTGGGTGCATTTTACGAAATTGACCTTCGTTTTCAAGCAAAGGTCCAAAGTGGGGAGAAGCCGAGAGATAAAATGAAGTAAAAAGGTGAGGGTCATATGTTTAGTGGTTTGCATCACCGGACAATCTCTAGAATTCAAAAAGGACGAATGGATCTTGACCATGTAATCCTATAATTTATTATTATTAATTATATTGTTATTCTTTGAGAGTGACAGCGTGGACAAAGGGGGATTGTGACGTGGCAGATGAGGACTGTTTGACATCTGAAACATCGCACTCAAATACCCTCTGCTTCTAGTTTGGAATTGGATGATATGGGTGGCACCATTCGGCCCAAAATTTATCATCATCATCTAAGCCTTATCTCAATTATATTCTTTCAATCGGGTTTCCTCATAAAATTGGTCTTTACACCCACCTCAGATCTTTTACATCAGTGCATTGGAAACATCTCTCATTAATAAAAACATATATGTATAGCATGGTTTTCAAAACTGGATTAGATCAGACCGTCGAATTGGAAAAACTGGGAATCGGTCAGATGATCTATTCTGTTTTACCCTAGAACCGTTATTTTGCAAAAAGTTGTTGATTTGGTCAACAAACCACTGACCTGGATAGTTGAACCATTTGAACCGTCCAACGGTTTTGGCGATTTTTATTTATTTTTTAATTTTTTATTTCTTTATTAGAATGGGTCATCCATTCGATTTGAATGGACAAACTGTTCGACCCAGAAACCAGACCCTTAACCGGTTCGTTGTCTGATTTAATTTAAAAAAACTTGATTGATTTATAGAGATATTCCTAGAGGTGTGAAAACTAATTTTGTAAAGAAATCTAAATTCCTTTGGTATCATATCTATTGTTAAAGTAAGATTTTTTTTTTTTTAAATCTGATCATAGTCCTTCTGCCACTTTCAACCTGTAATAGATGGCTATCATGGGCTTAAGCTTTATGTTGTAAAAAAAAAGTTGTAAGAATAAAATCAACATAAATCATACAATAGATACTATAAATAACTTAGAAAAATATGATCCGGGATTCTTGAAAATTTCTCGAATTTGAAAGCTTGAGCAGTGTCCAATCTAATCCATGAATGAACAAGACAAGGTACAATTTGAATTTATATTGGTCATGTTTTCAATAGCAGGTAAAATTGTTGTGAACCATGTCCCAATCAGAAATAAACAAGTAAGCAATCCATACTTGCTGTATAGCAATTGACATCTTTACTTTTGATTTGGGTGTCAAGTGGCCAATTCTCAACAAACACAGATGTATATACAAAAAATGGACCTATTGTCTTTTTTTTTCCCTGCTCATTGCAAATTCCTTGTACCTTACTTGCTTCTTATATATACATAGAAAGAAACTATGGGTTTGGATAACTTGTTAACCTTTCTGGTGGCAAGTAATTAGTTTAGACTCTTAGGATGCGTTTGGAAATGATGCAAACAGAGTGTAAATTCTGGTTTAGGGTAAATTTGTACTCTGGTTCATTTAAGTCTGTTTGGTAAGAAGGTAAATTTGTCAGTGTAAAACTAATCCAACTTTGTATTTTATATGGATCGCTTTACACTCTACATATTTGTATTTACGCTTATTTGCATCGATTCCAAATACAACCTTATTTGCTATTAATGCATCAGATATTGGTTAAATCTGATCCAACCTAATATAAATATATAAATATCTAGGACTAGATTCAATCCAATTCAATAAGTACTTTGAATCATTAAGTCTGAATTGATTTTGATTCAAAAGGAGTCCAACCCAAACCCAGTCCATTGACATCCTTAGTTTAAAGTTGGAATGAAGGAGACTTGGAATTGGATGGTGTTTGGGGTGATGCATTTGACAGCCATACGAAATTTGATAAATTCATGTAAAAAAATGGATCCTATAAGAAATTGCTAGAATTTTGAAAAGAAAGTGAAGTGTGATTCTTGAATAGCAATCTGACTGATCTTAGTGCTTCTTGAATCACCATTGTAAGGTGACACGTTGAAAAGTGAAAAAGATGATGATAAACACCAAGGCTTTAAGCCCTCCCAAACACCCACTTGGAATTCCTCCCCCACACCATACATCCTTGGACATTGTTAATTGGAAAAAGAATGATACTTTGATTCACTTTTCAAGGTGCTACATTAAAACCTTTTGCCTGGATACTGTGGGATATGAGGTTAAAGCTTACCACACGAAGGAAAGGGATGGAATGAAACTTTTAGTCATTTAAATTCCTTTTAGATAGAACAAAAATTACAACTTTAGTCATTTCAGATTCCATTTAAATTAATGCCTTTTGGTCATTAAGGCATTGTTGTTCTGACTTGAATTAAATAAGTTTGAGAATACTATATATTTATAAAAGTAAAATAGAAAAAAAAAGGTCATTACTTATTGCTTGATTATCCAGGGGCAGAAGAGGCTCAAAAGTGATATATTCAAAGGTGATTCGACCCCATTTATGTGGCTCCTGACAAATACAGCTCATGCAGGGAAGGAAAGGAAGAAGATAAGGTTTGTTACTTGAGCTAGCTTTCTCATCCACTTCTCTATCACCATGCACATATTGTTTATTGGGGATCCTTCTTTTTGGATTATTTCATGGCACCCACCAATTGGAAATGATTCAATTCCATATTAAATTAACAAAACACACACACAGAGTGGTGAAACTCTGATAAACAAAGTGACACCAGTTCCATACTATTGTAGTGGTCCAGACCTGTGTGAACTTGGGTGCATTCTATCAACCGAAAATTTAATTTTACTGTTTGGTTAATCCTCAGAGTATAATTATGCTAACAAAAAGTATCACTGCCTAAAAAGCTGATAAGCAATCAACTCCTATTCATTCGAATTCAAGTTCAGGTGGGTTCTGGTTGGTTAAAGTTTTTCATGCATTATATATACATTTCCAATATCATAGAAATTGTCATAAAATTCAACCCTTTCCTCTCTTGTCCCTCTCTGGAAAAAAAAATCTGCTAGCTCCTTATAGAAGAAGGGAGGGAATGGTGAGGTGAGTTTTATCCTTCACTGTGAAAAAGGATCATTCCTTTTTTTTTTTTTATTCCTGTTATGACCTTCTAATATCCAATGATTTCCCTTGTATTTTCTAGTAGATTTATGGTAAACAATGAAAACTTTGAGAAGCAAAAAAAAGATCAAATGCATTCTGCATTCTATTTTAAACTTCTGATTAGGGGTGGATTTGAGCCGAGCCAAGCCAAATAGCTAGCTATTTGAGCTCGGCTCGCCAAGGTAGTACGAGGCTTGAATTCGAGCTCGAGCGCTCAACTTGAGAAAAATATTTTATAAAAATAAAAGAAATATATATAAAAAATATTTTTTATTTGCTGTTTAAAAAATAAATAATTATAATAATTAGTTATTATTATATATAAAAATAAAAATATTATATATATTATTTTCTATTATTATTATTATTGTTATGTATGTAACTATTCGAGCCGGCTCGTGAATCTCACGAGCCGAGTTTTATTACGCTCAAACTCGACTCAATTAAAAAACAAGTCTGTATATTGAACTCAAACTCGGCTTGAAGCTTGGTTGAAACCTGAATCGAATTCGAATAGCTCGTGAGATTTCGACTTGTGGCGATCCCTACTTCTGACCTCCAAGTTTTCACCCCCAACTTCACAGGTTGGTTTCATGCTTAATTTTCTTTTTCAAGAGAAAAGATGTGATTTCATCAATTATTTTGGGTGCCCCATGTTTCAGTTTTTAAATTCTGTATCCTGTAAAATGCTTACAATTTGGTCAGTTGGTGGCAGTGGTTGATGGTGGATTCTTATTTCTTAGCACTATTTTAAGTATTGTTCCTGCTTCCAAGTTATCTCTATATCATAGTTTAAATTTTAAAACAGGGTAATTTATTTGTGATGTTACAGGGATGACCCATTTGATCCAGTCCAGACAATCGAACACGTGCCATTCCACTAGTAATAAAAATGACTTGTGTACTTGAATTGTTGAATACATTTCCAATGCTCTTTAATTCATCAATCACTACTATTTGTGTATTGATCCAGAGTTATTAAGAGAGGAAAAAGACTGGAAGAGGTCGCCCTCCCATCCAAACACCGAGTTTTCTTCTGTCTTTTTCTCTCTTTTGTTTGGTTCCGGGGTGAAGAAACCGACTTGTTTTAATTGTTTGCATTAGGTAGAGTTGGCAAGTAGTGAATAGTGATCACATCAGCTCAAGGTTTTTAAAACCGACTCACACAATGAACCGTTCAGGGGTCTGGTTTTTAGGTCGAACAGTCCCTTCGAATCGAATGGTCGGCCCATTCTGACAAAAAATAAAAAAAGTAAAAAAGTCAAAACTATTGAACAGTTTGAATGCCCATATCAGCGATTTACTGACCAAATCAATATTCTTTTTTGGCAAAAATCTGGTTTTGGGGGAAAAATGGAACCAATCACCTGACTGGTTCCCAGTTTTTCCTGTCTGACCATCCAGTTCGGTCTTATTTTGAAAACCATGCATCAACTTTAACAGTTCCAAGACCATCTGAATTCTGAGTCCATGGTCCAACCTTTGAAAGGGTTGGCCCAATTTTGGGACTGGGCAATTGGGTATGGGTAATGATCCGGATTTATCCATCAGACCACCGGTGTTGAGCTCTGTTGGAACTAGGAAGCAGTTGGGTTCTGGGTTGTGATTGTGATGTAAAATGTAATTAGGGGTGTCAATGAATCGGTTTTAGGTTGGACCTGTCCAAATCAAAATCAATTTGAATGAATTGGATAGACGAATAAGACATTAAATTTGCCCAATCTAAATTTAATGGTTTAAAGTATTTATTGGATTGAATTAGACATGGTCCAGCCATTGGATTGAGTCGAATTGAATCAATATCCAATCCATTGGTAGAAGAAAAAAATACAGGTGTCAATAGACCAAATTTGAGTTAAAACCAATTTGAACAGTTGAACAGTCCGAACATTGAATTGGACTGATCCAAATGCTCCAAAATATTCAATGCATTGGATTGTACCTGATCAGATTGGACCAAATTTAATCCAATTGAGAAAAGGTACGCTAATGGTTGATTAATGAATAAGCAAAGCACATTAGCTGCATCGCCCAATGAAAAATTAAACTCGATTGGTCAGTGTGTCAGTGTATGGGGTTTCAAATCGTATTTAATTAAGGACATGGATATCAATAACTATACATAATCAGATTGAAAAGAATTATGGATTATGGATCCATCAAGATTCGGATCCGGTGATAGTTGAGTACAGGTGAAGCAAGCGATTAGTTCAAATTCAACAGAATCAACTTAGGCTGATAAGTACGACCTTCCAACCTTATAATATGATTTTCAATTTGCTAGCCGCAATCTACTTCCAATATTGAAGGCAAAAACTATCTTCCGATCAACCGAAACTCTATTTTTTAATTTTTTTATTAGACAATTGTAAGAGATTATGATATGACATCTTCAGTCGTTTAAAACCACTAAATCATCCCAACTGAAACCGGATTTGCTCATACTTCTGACATCAACGTTACAACACTTTCAACATTTTCCGTATTTGTATCTCGTGATATTTATAAGGTTCAGTTTGGAAGCATAAATGCAAATGCAAATATTTATAGTGCAAAACTTTATATTTTATATTATTTTTATGTATTTATTTAGTACATGTTTGTATTTGTATTCTTTTTAAATTGAGTCTAAGGCTCCATTTGTTTGTGATACAAACACTGAATTGGGGTATTTATGTACCTCGACTCGCGTTTGCGAGCACTAGTTTGATAAATAAAAAAAAGTAATGATTATCAGATCAAAAATATATTTTCTGACACTTCTTTACTCTAAGTATCTATTTTTTTAATACAATTTTGTGCCCTATTGATAATTAACTTTTTGACCAAAGTTAAGGCATTGGAGCATGAGTCATAAAGATAGTTGTAGCATTTAATGATGAGCCCACACTTTGCACCAATTTCAAAAAATAAGATGACTGCAAAAAATGGTTTAAAATGTGAACTACGTTTGCCTTCATGAACTGAAAAAAGGATAAATATACAGTGTACATATTTACATTTGCATTGCAACCAAACACAGCCTAAGGCTCAATTAAGAGTACAAATACAAGTATATAGAGTGCATAGTTTTGTATTATTTTGTATGTATTTATACTGTAAATATTTGCATTTGTACTTGTACTGTTTCTCTCTTTCCAAACTGAACCCAATGTATAACTGCAATGTGCTGTGAAGTTGTGTTGAGGAACAAATCCAGAGTCAGCTCCAAGCAAATCAGTGACCCTTAAAATCGATATGTATTGCACCAGCATGTTACAATATTTTAAAACTTTCACAACTGGCAAAGAAACTGGGAAAAAATTTCTATAATAGGGCGAAACCCTAAACTGGGAGTGTGATGCCTAATACCTTAATGATCAATTTTACGTGGGGTTAAGGGATATTTTGCTTTTCTGTTTTATGAATTTCTATGGTGCTAGAAAGGCATGGTACCCATAACATTTTAACCAATCAAAAACCCAGATTGATTATGAATCGGATGATACTGGTTGATAGATTATTAGTTTTTAGGCAACATTTTCCGCACTATAGTTGGATTCGATCGATTAGCCTCTACACTAGCAGATATATAAACCCAAGGCCTGCTATTAGGAAATGACAATTGCTAGGTCGATTACAAAGCCAGAAGATCCTCCATCACATGGAGAGTCTGGATTAAACTTTAAAGGTACGCCCACTGGTGATGGTGAGTGGTGACTGGGCGAAAACCCTGCCCCTGTTTTAGGTTTGAACTTTTAACCAGATCCATGCCAATGTGCGATGATGTCCTAGCCCTATCTCAAGTTGTGATGAAAGCAATATAGCAGCTTCCTTCGACTGCACCATTCCTCTATAGCCCTCAAGACAGGAGGGAATGGGCGAACTTGCAATGACAAGTAAAATGAAGCAGTGAGAGACTGAGAATAGATAACACAAATTTCATGGAAAAATATTGCAGTAGATTCCCCCACCACGCCAGAAAATAAGATATCAACTGTTTTTTCCTTGTCCACAATCAGATAGAGAATAAAAACTAATCCAAATTTATTTAAGCCAATTAGATTTTCATTTAGAATTAATATGCCAGGAAAAATAAAAAAGAAACCTTACTATGTAAATGATACAAAGTCCACCATGGACGTCCACTGATCCACATAGAAGCATGTTAATGGCTATCATTTTGCCAAGCAACCAATCAGTCTGTAACCGTCAGCAATTTCCCTGCAACGAATTCATATACATGTATATCATTTTGCTAAGCAACCAATCAGTCTGTAACCGTCGGCGATTTCCCTGCAACAAATTCATATAAGTGCAGTCCAATATCTATGATATTTCTAAAAGTGCTGGAATAAGTAACGAGGCAGGGAAGAAACAATTTCTCCAGATAATGTTCCAGTTAGCTGTAAACATGATTTTTTTCTTTTAAATCCCAAAATTTACTCCAGTGGAGGAACAACCACCGTAAAATAACGAGTGCATAAAGAAAAGGAGAAGAAAAACAAAAAAGATAGTGAATAGTTATATATTTACCATAAGGCAGCCCAGTGCACGAGGCTCCCACCAATGTAGGGTCTGAGGAGGGATAGATGTATGCAGCCTTAACCTTGCACAGTTTCTCCGTGAAAGGGTAAGGCTGCACAGTGTTAAACAAAAATAAGTGTGATAAATGAGAATTATTGACTGATGATCCATTAACAGGGTCAAATGGTCCAGCGATTGAACCTGCTGAGTTACCAGGTCTTTATTTTTTTTGTTTTTTTGCGACAGGGGTGAAACAGACATCTGGCCAGGTTACAGGTCAAACTGCTGGTTCAACCATGGGTTGAAAAGTTTGGAATAAAGGAGGACCAGAACTTTGTTGATGACATGCCATGTTTACTAGTGATTTATAAAAAAAATCCGTTATCTGCCCTAGTTATAAAGAAATATTACACACCAGCTATGATGCATCAAAATTACTGCTTTAAACCAAAACAAGAAGAAAAAATAAAGATGAGATTATAATGACACTCCAAGTTTTGCATACTGAAAGTTTCACTTTACATGTATGTGGTTCTTCATTTTCTGCAGGTACTCTATACAACAAGCTCATCTTCAAGGTAACTGTACTCAAAAGTGAATTCAGTCTTAATCCTTTGGCACCTGCATATGAACATTGACAAGTCATGAGTACCAGAGTTCCCAGATTTGGAATACAAACCAAAACCTTGTTCAAGACTAGATATTAAATCAGTTCATCCTCATTAATTAAATGTAACAAGACCAACACTTACGAAGTCCATAAAATCCTTCCCATGGTTTTCAACAATCCATGGAACAAAAGAATCAGATTTTGAATGAAGCAAAAGATTGCCTAACCTCACAGGTAAGGCTCATTTTGTGGGGGTGAACCTCACCTCACTTGTATATTTGAATGGGCCTGGCCCGAAAGATTGAGCTCGATGCATGTAAATTGTTCAAATTAGGAACCTGTATTGCACCCCTAGTTTGACATATTAACCTTGAAGTTGATGTTTAAATAGATGATTTAAGATACTCTAGGTTGTAGCTATGATGTTTAAGAGTCAAAATAGTTTAACTTACTACATCCTTTGTCTTAAATAAGATGATTCTCAAACCAACCGGTTAATGGGCCTTTTGAAATATTTAATTTCTTTGAGAATTTAGATTTTCATAAATTCTTAGATATTATTTTTCCCAGTTTTCCCTCGAAGTGGTACCCACTTAATCAAGTATGTTAATGCAGATTTTTTTTTTTTTTTTTTTTTGAGAAAGGTAACTATTTCTTCTTTTTATCAATAACTCCAAAACTTTATTAATAAGAGCAAATATTAGTAAGTACTGCTGATTCAATACAGTTTAAAGTTCGTGAGACATTGTTGTCAAGGTGACGCCTAGGCAATAAGGCATTCTTGAAGGGTCGCCTCCCCCAAACACCTACATATTTATATCTTATATTAACAATAGTAGTACAATAGATATTATTGCACTAAATTATTCATATTGTGGGTTTATAGCATTAATATTGTTATTCTTATACTAGTTTCTTTTTGTTATTTTCTTATTTGTTTGGGTTCAATCGAGACACAAGGCATTGACATATTCTTGAACCCTTTAGGAGTTTAAAACCTGGATTGATAAGTAAAAAATAACTTGAAGGTTTTATCCAATTGACACACAAGAGCAATCAATAGGACTTCATAGGACCAACACAAGGGCTCAACCTTTATGTTTTGTGTGCTTATTTCCTTTCTTATTTTTTTACTCATAAGTATGTTCACTTTCTATCTATTGATATGGGGCTTATACTTATTTCACGAGAATTACGATGATTATTAGTTAAAGATCACTACATATTACTATGAAACCTAGGGATCTACCCTAGCATTTATATTTTTTATTTTAAAAAACTCATTGCCTAGGCGACAAGGCGCTCCCCTATCACCTAGCTGGCCTTGATGCCTTGAAAACTATGTCGTTAGAGATAAAACCTCTTATCTCTCCCCCAAAGTGCCCCAACTTCCTTGCAATTGTGCCCAAAACAAAGAACCTCTCTCAACCCACTGTTTGGCAAGTGCATCAGCTACAGCATTAGCATTCCGTGTAACCCACCCTATCCTTACTTCCATATCTCTAGTTAGCCACCTGCTTGGCAAGTGATCACCAATGTTGAATCTCCCTCGACAATTAGCTTGCTGACTCATTGTTCTCACCCTTTAGCTTCCATTACAGCCATTACTTCTGCTCTCAATGAATTTCCTTCCTCAGCCAGTCCAGAATATAGGGCAATGATCTTACCCTCATCTCTAAATACACTTCCAATGCCAGAAGGTCTTGGATTTCCTAAGCTACTACCATCGAAATTGAGTTTAATAAATCCTCTATCCAGTGGGCTCCAATGGTGACTTGTGACAATCTTATGAACAGATGAATCCGCCACTGCCTTCCAGTTTCTTAGTAAATCATTTGCTGAAACACATGAGAAACCCTCCAAGGACTTCAACCAATGCGGCACTTTTATTTTAACTGCTTCAAATACTTATTTACTTCTTTATCCAGAAAAAATCCTTGAGTTCCGCTCCTCTCAAATCATCCAAAGAGTAGCTGCTCTTAGGCATCTCCACATAATTCCCCTCTTTTGCAGTCAAGAGAAAGTAGTTGCATCAAACATGCTTTGTACATTCATAGGAGGATTCCACCTGCACCCAATCAAAGAAAAGCACCATTCCCAAACAAGGGTAATAAAAAAACATGAAATAAATAAGTGATAGCAACTCTCACCATCAGCCTTACATAACACACACCAGTGAGGGGATAAACACCAACTAGGCCACTTTCATTTAAGAACGTCAAGGGTGTTAATCTTTCCATGTACAACTTCCCAAGAAAAAGCAGCAATCCTTGGTGGAATAGGTCTGCACCACACCTTAGCTCCCACAATAAAAAATCCCTCATCTTTATTCTTTTACAAACACTAAGTGAAGCCTTGAAGACTGACAAATAATAAACAGGTTGATTAGCTAGGGTTTAACTGATCAAAGCGACCCTGCCACCTAACGACAAATATCCTTTCTACTAGATAGCTAACTTTTTGGAGAACCTCTCTAACACTTCCCAAAACCCAACTTCTTTTGGATTAGCTAAAAGGGCCAAGACACAACACTGCAACTTAATATTTCTGCACATTCTGCCAGCTCCCCTTCCCTCATGTTGACTCCAGCTACACAGCTCTTACCAAAATTAATCTTTAGATTTGACATCCTTCCAAAAAGCTGCACTGAAAGCTTTAAATTTCTTACCCATTCCAGCTCATTTCCTTCAGAAAAGGGAATGGTATCATCTGCAGATTGTAAATGGGTAATAGGGACACCACCTCTTCCCACTCTCCACCTTCTCACCAACCTTCAATATGATTCTGCTTAGAGCATCAACTATAAGTGTGAATGGAAAGGCGGGAAGGGGATCTCCTTGTCTTATCTCATGTTTTAGCTAGAAAGAAGTCTGCCACTGTGCCACTAACTAAAATTGAATAATGGCAAGTATTTAAGCACCCCAAAATCCATTTACACCACCTCCCACCAAATCCACATTGCCTCAAAACCTCAATTAAAAAGGTCCAATCAACTAAATCATAAGCCTTTTCCAAGTCCAGTTCGCAGATTATTCCTTTTCTCCTTGATCTCTTCATTTCCTCAACACATTCATTAGCAATTAGAATTTGATCAGTGATTTACCTATTCTACACAAAGCCCCTTGATTGGATGTAACAATGCAGGGGAGAACTTCCTGAATTCTTAGAGCCAACACTTTACCTATTCACCAAGCCGATAGATCTAAAATCCTTGGGATGGTCGGCTCCATTTCTTTTAGGAATCAAGGCAATAAAGGTAGAGTTCAATCCTAGATTTATTATTCCCCTTTCAAAAAAATTCATCAAAAGCCCACATCAAATCATCTTTCAGCACTACCTAACAATCTTGAAAAAAAACCATAGTAAAACCACCTATGCAAAGGTTTTAAACTGGGCCCTTCGATCATCAGGCTAAGGGTAAGATCCTCTAATAAATTTAGAAAATTGCAGCACATCTTTTTTGCCTTTCAAGCTTCTGTCTCCTTACTTGTGCTTCCCAACTTTCCTTGTTGCGCAACCTCTCGCATTCTGCCACATGGTCTGTCTTCTTTCTTGTTAGAGTCGTCTTCCCCACTGGCACACCCTTCCTTCCACCATCAGGCTTCAATGGAAGAAGCTATCCACACCTTGAAGGCCATCCCCTCTATCATTCGTGGTATCTTTTCCGTCTTTGCCCCAATCAATTTCATTCTCACTGCTTGAAGGTCTGAAGAATTAAAGGAATCTAGTTCTTCGACACCTTACTTATAACCTCCTCTGACCAAAGATGGAAAGTGAGTCCCAATAGTTTCAGGTCGATGGTGGTTGTTGGCTCCAAGAATTTTTCATTGCTAGAAAAGGCCCAACGCTGAATCGTGATCAGGCCTAATTCAGTCTCCACTGATCTTGTTACAAACTCTGATTGCCACTGTGGACAGATTAACAATGCCTTGTTAATCTCAAATGGAACAAACTCCAATTCTTCTATACACTTTACCCCTTCAATGTCTTCCGCCACCTATTCCAATACTTAATCTCCTTATTCACCGAAATCATCAGCTTATCTTGACAAAATTCTTTAGGGCCATGAACCCAAGATTTCGGCTGCACCACTTCTAATGTATACTGCACTTTCTCTCCACTTTCCACTGGCATCTTAGAGTTCTCCATAGGTTCTTCGCGTCTTGATTCAGCTACCTCTGCTTTCCACGAGGTCTCCTTTAAATCCTTCTGTGACACCATCTTGAACCATGAATATTCCTGTACCGCCTCTGCTAGTAACAACCACCCACAGAAGCATTTCTTCCCTTTGGAAAACATATAAGTTGCCTTCGTCCTTCTCTGAAATACTCATAGAGCCCAATGAAGCGGACATTTCTGTTTTCTCTCCTAACTGCAAAGTATCTCCTACCTTCTTCAATGCGGCTAAGTTTCCACTCCTTCCTGGTTCTAACTCTTTGGAAACATGAAACAGCTCTTCCTGCTAGAAGCCTAGAATCAAGGAAGCTTTCCTCAACTCTACAATCTTCAAAGCTGCTACTTTTCTTGTCCACACTCTTTCCAGGATAAGAGTTTTAGCCTCAATCTTCAGAACCTTCAATTCCTTGCTGGTACAAACTCTCCCATCTCTTTCTCGCAACTAATTTCCTCCAACTCTCGCATCATTGTCAAGAAAGGTAACTATTTCATTAAGAGCAAAAAAGAAATTTACATTCTGCTCAAAGCTTATATTCATGGTGGTTTTCCTGAGAAATTCTACATTAACATCCTCTCCATCTGCTGCTCCATTAACCTTTTTTCTACAACATCCTCTCCACATATTCATGGTGGCTTACATTTTTCATCTCTTAACACCTTCCTTAGCAACAAGCCAATACAGAATTTTAACCAAAACTTGGTTATCCACAAATGCTCTTTGTTAGAAAAATACCCGATCTGATACTCTATCCTTTCTTTATACTTCAATGTAAACAGTATTCTGCTAGTATTGCTCACCTTTTGATCCACGTTATTTCTTATGATATATTACCCT